AGCAATGCAATGTTATTTGGTGAACCGGGAGTTTAAATAAATATCTTGTACAGGATTTTTTTCAATAGAATTTTTCCAGAAGTCTGTGGACGTAATTCCCTTATTATCTGACTTTTTAAGCGCAATTCAGGTTTGCTGATATCGATTAAACTTTTTTCGTGAAATCTACGACATTTTTGTGCTAGTGAACGATAACCAGTCCTCAATAACTGTTTCATCGTACCCAAAGCACTTTCAAAAGGAAAAGCAGATAGTTCACTCACAGAACACTATATTCAACGCATCATCTGCCAAATGAATGAGGCTTGTACATTTAAAACTTGAAATTTCTTACCCTACCGATGACGAGCGAATTTAACAAATGTGGCGAGATATAATTTTGCTTGGTGGTTCCTAGTTAATGCTGTATGTTCCCTACATTAAATACGACAACATAGAAAAGTAAGAAATGCTTGTAGAAGTCCCCTGACAACATTTTTTTAAAATAATTGGGCATACATATAGTGCTAAAAATCTAAACTGTGTGGCTTTCTACTTCGATACTTCAAGTAAAGATACAGTTGACCTTTGAAATTCTTCAGGTACCTGGCTCTTTAATAATACTAAGTAATGAGAAAGAATCTTTTGAGAATTTTGATTAAGTCTAAATTTACGATCTCCCGGCATCCACGTATCGATCAACAATTTTTTCCTGACTCCCAACCAGCAAAGATGCATTGTGTCTAATAAACAGAGACGAATCATATCAACTGGAGGACATATTCTGACTAATGCTGAAATTCCATCATGATGTAGATCATCGTGTTGATATCTGAATGGTTTATCTGTACGTCCTTTAAATTCCGTAGAAAGGTAGACAGTTCGTCTTCCTATTCTGGTCCCTTCCACAGCGCAACATTCGCAAGCAGCTTTAGCGCCATGGTTTTTGTTTTTCGCCAACGACCTTGCTGGTCTATCACAAATCAAGGCTTTAATCTCAATATTAAAATGATGATTATCTATTTCAACCCCCGTATACATCAAAATACTGAGTTCACATATGAAGCGTTGGAAAACCCGTTATATGTTTTGTGGTTTCCCCACTCCAGAGTATATGGCAATTGGAAATGGCTTATATGTATCAGACTGACAAAAAACTTTCCCAAAAATAGACCAGAATTGCAGGAAGCTAGATTTATACGTCGATACTCCCTCTGTGTATTATGAGTTCCAGCGTCCCATGTGCGTAAACAATAGCATTAACCGTTCGCTTCAAATATTCAACTATACCAAAATACACAAATTCAATTTTATTGGCTTCTTCTGAGCACTTGATAACATAATTTGCTGTTGAAGTTTTCAGAAATGATTCCGCAGTTGCAGGCAATTCTGGAAAAACAGTATTTTTCAATTTCTCAACAGAACATCGAGGTGATTTTGAGGAGTTTTTGCTTCTAATGCCCATTTATGAAAACTAACAATAGCTTTTCTTCTTTTATTTAATGGTTTTTCATCAATTGAGTCATTGGGTCATCAAGCAGTCCATTCGTGGCGTACGTTCAAGTCTTCTCAAGTTATTCTATACTGGATGCAATCGGGCTGGATTATTCCGAGCGCCATATTAGGATTTAAATAAGGCTAACCGGATCAGGAGAGGACTTAATATTGTTACCGACGCTATATTAGGATTTCAGTCAGGCTAACCTGATCAGGAGTGGACCTAATATTGGCGCGGACACCTTACTACAGCAAGCGTCAAGTCGCATAGATCAAGACTTTACCAGGTACTGCTCCGCGAGCTATTACTAGTGTAAATAAGTTCATTTTCGGATCATCGAGATCGCGGCAGAAATCTGACGACACCGATAAATCCAGTGAGGTGTCAACGAGCTGTACGACTGAAGACTATTTTGTATCAAACATTAAGGATCGCTCTCCCGAGAGTTTCTCTTGGCTCTCTCCGATCATATGAATTCACACGAAAACGTGGAAATCCTGAGAATCAGATTCTGAAGAAATATAAAATGCATGAAACGACAATTCCCTGAAGAAGGGCTGGCAGACTGGCTCAGAGTCTTATGTATCAAATGTTTTCTCAAAAACTGACCTCTTTCATAAGGTAATCACTCATGATGAGGTAAAAAATAAACCACATGAGAATTGTGTACGCCATTCACACTTTCATTTCAACCTACGTGCACTGTAACCCCACATAAATGCCATTTTTACACCGGAAAGTGGGGAAATGAAAATTGGGGTCCACCCTCCTTTCAGAACGTGGTGACACGTGCGCTTTAAACGCACAGCATTTCCGATTTAGCACGAAGAGCGGACTAATTTCTTGTCTGAATTCCACCATGAATTTATGATAAATTTACGGTATTTCTTTAATCAATAAAAAAATTTTAATGAAAAATCAAAGTTTAAACAAGTTTTGATAATTCTACAAAAATCCTCCAAGTGAATATTCCGACGACAGAAGTATAAAAAATTCGTGAAGATGTACTTGCAATGAAAAAAATATACTGAACAGTCTATTTGCCCTCGGTGATTTTTCCGCCTACAAAGAGCACCATAAATGTCTAATTTTAATTGATAAAACGAAACCGTGGCGGCTGAGTATTCAGACACGGTGAAGCCCGGAGGACACGTGTAGTTATTAGATTAGGAGCAACTGCCTTGCCGTACCTGATTAGGGGGCCTGATCTATTAAAACAGATGACACGCCCGAGGCTATGTGAGATAATGCCACCACTAGATCCCTCCAGATGCTGGGGGATGTACACTTGCTACCCTCTCGATGGGGGAGACGTTTTCGAACAATGAATTTTCCCCGTCTAATATAACCACGGTAAACTGGGGAACAATTTTAAGATGAGGGTCGAATGTTATCTAGCCCATTAATAATTTATATTGGAAATACTGAGTTTTGGTAACAGCGAAAAACTGGAATTGAGATAAAAGAGTTTAACTCAAGTAAATTTCGGTCTTTTACGCTCTAGCGGGGGTGTAAAAATTTATGAACGGTTAGCGGAAATTCTTGGTTACGTGACCGAACGTTATTCTAGAGATATCCAGTGTTTATAGAATAATTGAAATTATTTTGTAACATAAACATCGGATATATTCTGAATCATCAGTTAAAAAAATAAAATAATAATCATCACGAGAATTTGAATTTTTCAATTGTACTAAAAATTTCCCTAAAATTAACCAGAGACAATCAAAAAAAAATTACGCGAAACATATGAGAATTTTTCATAGCTGCCAACCTAATTTTTCCCATTATAGAGCTTTTTCTGAAATGATTGAATAAATTATTCAGTGATGTTTTCCGTTATCATATGGAACCATGAGTGGTAGCTTTAAAAATTGATTTTTTACAACAATGATTGTAAGGTAATTCATGTAATTGGAAATAGCACCACCAGAGATGATTCACGTTCAAATACTAATATCTAAAATTTCTAACGATGATATACCCGGAATAATTACCACAAACTTTATGGGTACTGTAATTTAACGATAAATGTTTGACATTTAATGTTAACATTCACCGAGGAACTAACAAATTTATATACATACCCGAGCCATTTCGAAGTTATGATGTGGGCAGACATATGGAGTCATACCCGGAAATTCAATCAGAGTTGAGTTCCTACTTCAATTATAGCAATCGAATTATAACTCCGGTTTGATTCGAATAATGATTCTAAATGAATAATAACGCGTAGTGTATATTTTTATGGTCGCATAAACTAACCTTTTGGATACGAGAGAAATTCAATTCATTCAAAAATTCACCCTAACCGACCATAATACGCAGTGCCAATCCAGAAATTTTTACTCAACACCATATAATTATCAAGAGAAAAATAATAACTACGCATAAAAAAAGAGTCCTGAACTGTCAGTGCACTCGACGACTTGTACTCCTGGTTGGTGGAAGGAAGATGATTTAAAAAATAAATATCTCTTGGTACATGTCCACCTTATAAAATAATTCTGCATAGAACCAGGAATCGAAAGAGCCATCGAAATTTCCCGTTCTGTTTTACAATGTCGTTTGACAAGACCATCCCTAAAAGCTTCATGAATTATGTACCATGTAACAAGAGAACCGACTAACAGCGACTTGCGGTCTCAACGCTTTATGGCAAAACCGTAATTTCAACGGCCTTGATATTAGCTGAACCGTGTAATCTCGAAGCATTTCAGCTGAAGCTTACAAAATCCTCCCATCACATCTTCCCATTTTCCCTCAAAATCTCCAAATCCCTACATTCAAAATTCCTTCGATATTTCTATCCAATAATTTTACGCAATACCTACGTGACAGCAGATATCCAGGGTAATGGAAGATCCCCTCTTTCCCTGATTTAATGTCTAAAATTAAACCCGGAGATTACCAGCTGATTCGCTCCAACCCCTGGAACTAATGCGCTGTCCTAGAAATGCATTTCAACGCGGGACAACGAAGGGGATGAGAACGATATTCACTATTATACATCTGGTATACAGGGTCGCACGAGGTTAGAGGATGAACCACATGTTTATGCAGTATTCCCGAAATTCGCGATAAAGCTACGCCATCCGTAAATGCCGATAGACCATTACAAAATCCCAGTATTATTATCCCGGAAATTGGCTATCAAATCTCTGAACGATCATGACTATCGGGTGCTCTAACTCTATCATAATTTTTATTAAGAATGAAGATTGTTCGAATCTTCCCAAAGCTGCAATGTTCATTCCATTGACATTTTTCATTACAAAAGTGCCTCCCCGTTACCATTCATTAAATTTATCATAATTCTTTGAATGAAAAAGCGATGGATTTATCCGAAAATAATAAGCCAAGAATTATAAGAAAAAAATATCCACGAGATATTCGATGGAATAGATCCGAATACAGATTAAAGAGATTAACTGCAATTTAATCATGATCTTACATCTCGAGGGTTCTTAAGTCAAATAAAGACTCTCTTATTCATCAATTCGTAGATAAAAATGATATTTACATTCGTTACCTGTTGTAAACCCTGCAGCACCGATGTCAACAATTTGGAGTAAAACACATGCTGCTAGAAAAATCGTCCTTGACGTCATTGTGATTCCACAAATCGTAGCACCCAGGAATTTAAACATTGCACTGTTGTTCATTATTCTAAATTGCACTATCCTGTTGCTTATCGCTATTACAACATTCTCAATAATAACCAAATTCTCCTCAACACTCGACACTCAACTCTAACACTGAAGCAATTCAGTACTAAATTCACTCGTTGGGATTATTGTTGAACAAAATCAAATATTGTATTCACTCCAATCGTGATCACGACGTCTAAATAAACCATGATGAGCACGGATTCCGAGTGAGTAATCAGGAAATGTCACAGTTCATTTACAATTGGGAAAATCAGACACGTACGGTGCACGAGCTATCGACAATAAACGGAGCAGTGACACAACCGCTAACGGGTAAGGCTCGGCGCCAACTGAGGAGCGAGCTCGCATCATTCGAGAATGTTTTTTTCCAGGATCTGTTGTTCCTCAGAGCTGCGCAGCACCCAACCTTGATGCTCCACCACCAAAACCCTACAACCTACCACCGCTTACACCCAATCCCAAGAACTCTGACACCGCCCACCACCTCCAACGTAGGCGGAGCGACTATTCGAATTAAGATTTTTGAATTTCTCGCTCTGTCACATTAGGTTTGGAAGACAACTAAAGGTCACAGGAAGTAATCCCTCAACTCCAGACACTCATTTCTACTCTTTTCAAGGGCACGCAAAGAAAAATTAATGAAATGGAGTAATACGGACACACTTTAAATATCGTTCTATTCTTGATTTTTTGTTTGCAATTTTTTTTAATGTTTTTTACAAATTCTGATGATGAAATTGCCGGAACGTTCTTATTAATTCAGAATCTTGGATAAATTGGAGATAAGTTATTGTAGAAAATGGAGGAGTTGTTCTCAAAGGGAGAGGCGGATATATTTTTTTTTTACTTAACTAAAAGTTTAATTTAACAATAAATTTTCGTTCAAGAATGGCCAGGGTTTTATAATTCTTATAAAGTGTAACAGGGTGAGATTATTTTAACATCACTGTTTTGCATGTGCCATTTCTCTTCGGGTGGAACGCGTGATGTGCCTGGAATCTCGAATCCCTCTTATTTTATTTTTGTTTAGTTTTTCCGTTCTTTCAAGCACAGTGCATCCCCCAAGGCCGTAGTCGCCTACTTGGTAGTCATTTCTGAGTCGACACCCAGGAAGATGAATGTATCTGCAAGTGTAAACGTGTGCAGGATGGAATGGAGGTGTGTTGGAGAACAACCTTGGAGAAATAAAAAAAAATATGAACGAATTGGAGAGTTGGTGGAGGCTTTCATTTCGTTGATGTAAGTTTGAAGCTTTCCTCGCGGAGTTTTCTGACAGGCTCGTCTGCTCGAGGAGATTCTGCGAAGCAGAAGAGAACCAACCAGACGTGTACTTCCATAAGCTCATTTGGAAGTGTACGCCTATACTGAAAAAGAAGAACGTCGCCATCAATCTTCAATTCCCTCCGGAGTTCCAAGGAGATTACTGCTGTTATCAGAACTTGAATTCTCATATCGACTGATTAAATTTGAGAATTAATGTCAGTTTAGTTCATGTCATTACGGTTATGAACCCATTGAGTTCCTATCCAATCTTCATTATTAGCCGATAATTAATCGATTGATTAATGTGCAAGAAGTTCAATTTCTCTAAAAATCGAGGAACTCTTCATTTATGGCCTTTAAATTTTTTATAATTCAATTCTTAATGTTGTATTCATCTTCGTCTTTCATTCGGCGTTTTTCAAATTACGCATAATTTAAAAAACGTTTATTAGAAATATACGCGAGCAATCATTTTGGAAACGATTGCAGTGAAGGTGCAATGCACCATAGGAGAACTAATGAAACGACGAATGCAGCAAAATCGCAATGCCCTTATTGTTCGGTTACACCAACTGCTCCAATTGAATATCAATTACAATGCCAAATTACCCTGCTCCTTCTGTATTGCTTTCAGCGCATTGCGATATTCTGTTTTATCAATTTTCCCATCTTGCGTCCATCATTAATGCAACGCACTGCGGAAAGTTTCGTTCCTCAATGATTAATGTATTCAATCACGTTGAAATTCCCATTGGAATGAATAAATGATATAGAATGATATGGTATGAACATTTTGTAATATCCCACGAAATATATTCAAGATCTAGTTTTGTTCCCGAGGGGTATTAAACTTTCAACACATATCCTGAATAGGTCGCAACTTTCTCAATCATATCGTAATATGAAACATAAAAAACGAAATTTTTAAATTGAGGAAAGCCAAAAATTCTTCAAATTCTCCATATACAGATCTTGAAAAAAATAAAAATTCGTTGGAATTTCAATTTTATTCATAATTTGGATTTTATCCGACGTTGAAATCTATCTTTTAAAGATATCTGGAAGAATTAGTAAAAATTATGCTCTATTTTAGGTACAGATACAGACAATGTATAATTGTATTTATTTGACATTCTATTGGATTACAGAGATTCACTTTCATCACCCGGAACCTTGTGACATGCAACAAATATTGGATTCACTTATTATTTTCTTCACTTCTTGCTGTCACCAGATTTTACACCATCCGAGTGGATTACATTCCTGGCATGTGCCAGTACATGACGATACTACTTATTTACCGCAGCACGTCCTCAACGACTTTTCTTTCAACTTGACACGAGAGGGAAAATATTGTTGATAGACATAAATTGTAGGGAGTGGTATATACAATTGTACATAACCATTACAAATGGCGCTGGTGATACTAGAGGGATAAAGTTATAAAAAACGAGACATCAGCTCCCGTATTTAACTGAAAATTACAAAAACTGAGCCAAGTAAAGGTTTCGCTCAATTGATTCCGTAAAAATCTCGTGTTTTACCAAACTATGGCCTTCCTACAAATTTAAAAAAACTCGGAAAATGTAAATGAAACCGCCAAGAAAAGTGATACTCGATTGAAAGGATTCAATAACGAAAATTTAAAAATCCGTAGAGGCAGGACCAACTTACTTGGCGCATGTATTATGTATTTCGAAATCTCGAAATTCATACTTCCATTAAACTCCAAAATTGACTTCAGTCACATGTGTACTTACACACATAAATAGGTCAAGCACTGCGTATAATTTTCCAACAAAACGCAAAGCTCATATTCGTTACCATAAAATTGACAATTATAATTATGGAACTACATAAAAAACATAAAATCCGAGGGAGGAAATAAAACACTCTCCTCTGTTTCTCTGTTACAATTCAACGGTTTGAATACACTGATGGCAACATCTCTGCCAAATTTGGCCCAGGTTAGGTTGGTTCGAACTGCTGCCAACTTAGTGACTTCAACGTAACCGAAAGATAATAGAAATCGGGAAAGCATAGAAATGAGCCCGTTGCCATGGGCGTATTTTTGCCAATTTTAATGGAAAAGGGGGAAAACTTATATGATATAATAAATTTGAGAACGATTTATATAATGTAACTGTGCACAGATTTCATGTAATTTGTAGCATTTGTATTTTATGGATCGAATACGATTAGGAGGTAGTGGAAGGGGTAGTTGTGTCGTGTATAGATACGCCGTAGCTCTCGACCTTATTTGTTGAATAAAGACGAAATTTTTACTTGGCCGATACGCTACCGTGTATCTCGACTCTTATCTGGATTGTAGAAGAAGGTTACTTGTACCTACTGTTAAGCCTCAATAAAGTTTTCGGATGAATAAAAATGATATAGGTATAAAATCTTATAAGTGCAAATATAAATATAAAAATGGCAAAACCTTAAGTCTTGAAAGAATATAATTTCTCCTCGGGTGAGGAATCCTGACGATAATGAAAAATCTAACATTAAATTAACAACTCTCAATAATATTTAATGCGAATTCAGTGGGCAAAAATGTACAAAAAATTTCTAACCCAACCGCATTGACATCTCATTGTTAAATTGATCAATTGAATTCCTTGGAGCGTAAACGTAAGAGTGACGAATGAGGCGAGGTCAAGAGGCAGAGCAGATAGCAGTGGAAGTATTTGGACGACAGGTTCGGAAGTTGATAGCCTCCACCGGTAAGAATCATCTATTATAAGGATCATCACACACTGTAATGGACTTCTCCTATTTTTGATATTGGGAATGCGATAGTCCCTGGTCATGGCACGGAGGAGATCGGGGGGTGTTATCCTGGTCGGATATTAGCTGTCATGTGGCTCAGTTAACAGGACACCCAGATATAGATTATAAAGGGTGGTGGTACACATGGTGCATCAAAAACGTCAGTCCGCCTTGGGCGAATTGTGGTTTTCGGCGAATAACAGTTTTCCAGCTCCATCCTCGCCATTACCACTTCCATCAGACTGGTAATTTAATATTAATATCGGGTCCATGATCTCCATCTAACGATAAACTCACATTATACTTTCCCGATAAGTATCAATCCATCGATCGACCATAAAAATCTGCTGTTACGTGGAAGTCTCATACTCCTGAAGGAAATAACCATCCTCTTCATTTGGTGCATACAGATAGCCTTGATACTCAATCCAATGTGACATATATATACTATGAAAGAACCACTGGAGCAGTGAAATAGATGATTTAAATGACAGAATCTCGGATGAAGAATTCCTCGGCGAAATATGATACGTTTGACTTCCGATGGGTTTCTCATGTGCAATCGGTATCCATCCCACATAATATGATCACACAGTGGACTGCACTGAGAAGAAAAATGCTTCTGCTAAGTATATTTATTAGTGGAAAGAAACTTCCTACATTCATGGAAAAGAAATCAATATTTTTGCATGGAGAAATAAGAATTTTGCCCGAATAAAATTCAACATTCAGGATAAATAGTACCAGATGCAAATAAGTACAGTGGATAATTGTTTAATCAAATTTTTATTTCGGAACAGAAATTAATAGATCCCTGTATATAAAACAATGATCATAGTTACTTCATAATGGACAGGACGTGGATGACGAATATTTGCGCAGTGAAAAACTGTTTTTGTCACTACGATCTATTAGATTACATCTATAATAATTCACTATTCATAGGCTTTTCAATACTTTAACAAAATAATAAAAAATGTTTTTCACAATATTCTTTTTTCTGTGTTAAATTGTATGATTTTTCTTATCGAAAATGTTGCATACCAATCGTTCATTAATAATATTACCACAACAAAATAATTATATTTATTGATGTCAACGTCAAATGGGAAAAATGGACACTTCGCGATGAAAATATGGGAAATTGTTTGTTGAAACGTTATTTCTAAATCACCACCTCGAGGGAATTCCCCAAGAAAAAAACATCTGCTGAACACTCAAAACCTTTAACATCATCTCAGGACCAGTCCCA